TTAAGATAGAAAGATTCATTCATTATGCCCCCAAATTGAATACCACAGTACCCAGAAACACTGTGGACAACTATCCTTATGTCAAAGCAGTTAAGGAGAGTAAATGGCAATCTAATACTCTTCGAGAGGCAGAAGTCAGTACAAAAAAAGGAGATATCTCTGTTGTGGAACCACCCGGAATCGAGGACACTGGTTTACTAAAAAGATGCATTATTGGGTACTTTGGGAAGGAAATCACTGAGAAACCCACATTAGCAGACATAAGGCGATGGGCTATTGCTTCCTGGAACAAAGCCTTTGGGGTCAACATGTATGAGATGACTGGTAACATGTTTCTATTCGAATTTCCGAATAGATACATGGCTGAGCAGATTCTCCAAGGAGAATGGAGATGGAAAAAGTTTTAGTTTCATCTAGAATGGTGGAACTACACTGCTGGCTGCATACCAAACTCTCAAATTGTGGAAACCTGCTAGATTAGAGCCATGGGGATTCCCCTACATCTGTGGTCACAAAAGATCTTCAAAGAAATAGGAGATCTCTGTGGGGGATGGATAACTACTGAAGAAGAAACTGATCTCAAAAACCATCTCAAATGGGCCAGAGTTCAAATAGCTGGGGATGGCAAAAAGATACCTAATGAGATTGTGATTGAAAGAGAAGGGATCAGATTTTTCAACCCAATCTGGGCTGAAAAATAGGCAAGATTTGAGCTGAAGTCGTCGGAAAACCTAGACAGCACCGGAGAAGAGAGAGAGAAAGGAACGAAACTCACAAGAGACCAGTGGACAAAGGAACCCTATGAGCAACTAATGGATAAAGGCAGTCAAACAGCTGTAGACATGATGGGCGAGCACATGGGGTGTACTAGATTTCAAATTAAAAATAAGGGAAAGGCACGTGTGCAGCACATGCAAGGTCCAAGTTTTAATTCAATAGATCTGGGCCTGAAATTAAATGGGCCTGATTCTGCAGCCCAGGTCATTTTTAATTATCTTTTATGTGAGCCCAATGAAGAAAGAAGACTGACGCCTTATATTGAGGAACTGGGCAGCGTCTCTTGCTTGAAAATCCAAGAAACCAACGCAGGGGATCAAATTCCTACTGCAAACCTCGAAATTATGGCACATGCAACAACACATATGAGTTGCGATCAGCCAGAATGTGAAGCAGAGACAGGAAAATTGGGCAGAAGGCAGGGGAGCATACCATAAGCATGAAAATGGGGGAAAATCAAGTTGATAGCAGGCCGGAGCACCAACAACAGCTATGTCATTTCAATACTGATCAAAATTGGGAGGTGGAGGAGGTTACTCCTCTTTCAGTACAACACCACAATTCAGTAATGGATAAGGAGATGGACGCGACACTGTGGGTCCATCAGAATATGATTAAACTGGGAAAAATGTTCGGAGTAGATTTTCAAGGCCATGAAGAAGAAGCACTGGAGTTACTTATGCAAATTGACAGTTGTAGACAAGTCAGAAGATTGGAGACAGAGGTGGAGGTGAAGAAACAAAGGTTCAAAGGCTCACTGGCACTAAAGGGTTTAGCCTCTTTTGATGTCAAATTCAAGAGCGATGGGAAAAGAAATAGGGGGAAAGATCTGTCTATTATTGCAATATGAAGATCAATCTAATATCATGGAATGTAAGGGGATTAAATGACAAGAAGAAAAGGGAGATCATAAAAAGTCAAGTACTCAACTGGAAGGCAGACATTATCTGTATGCAGGAGACAAAATTGGAGGGGGATATCAAGGAAACTGTCAGTCAAATTTGGGGTGGGAGATGGGTGAGGTACGCATGTTTAGAAGCTAGTGGCACGAGAGGGGGAATTTTGTTACTATGGGATTCCAGAGTATGGAAAGGGGAGGTGTTACAGATTGGTGCATACACTTTGACATGCAAGTTCGAGGCTCTTTTACAGAACTTTCAATGTCATATAACAGGAGTATATGCTCCTAATTGCAGAATAGAAAGAAGAACAGTATGGAGGGAAATTGGTGCAGTGAGGGGACCGATGGAAGGCCCTTGGGCAGTCTGTGGTGACTTTAATGTCGCAAGGTACCCCTATGAAAAAAGGGACTGCTTGAGGAGGTCCAGAGAGATGGTGGAATTCTCGGATTTCATAGAAGACATGGAGTTGATAGATCTTCAACTCGAAGGAGGCTCCTATACTTGGTTCAAAGGGGATAATCATACAACTGCTTCTAGAATTGACAGATTTCTAATTTCAGAAGAATGGGATGATAGCTTCAGAAATATCAAGAAAACTCTCCAACAAAGGCTGATCTCTGATCATGTCCCTGTGGCTCTATGTTGTGGTGCTTGGGAGCAAGCTAAATCATACTTTAAGTTTGAAAATTGGTGGCTGAACTCCGAAGGTTTTGATGACAGAATCAGGAACTGGTGGACATCTTTTGAATTTTCAGGAAGACCAGACTATATTTTAGCTTGCAAATTAAAAGCTCTCAAAGGCAAGCTAAAAGAATGGAGCAGAACTTGTAAGGGAAATCTGGGAATGCAAAATCAAAACTGCTGAGTCAATTGGCAGGTTTTGATGCAACACAACAATCAAGAGTTCTGACAGAGGAGGAATCAGTGAGGAAGGCAGCTATCCTCATGGAATTTGAGGATCACCTTAAGAATGAAGAAAGTGCATGGAGACAGAAATCAAGGGCCCTGTGGCTCAAAGAAGGGGATAGGAATACAAAGTTTTTCCATCGCACTGCCAATGCACACAAGAGATCTAACAATATTGACCAACTAGTGATTCAAGATGAAACAGTGGAGGAGCCAAACAGAATAAAGAATGAGATCATTGAATTCTACAAGAAGTTATACTCAGAACCTGAAGAGTGGACACCTGCAGCCAATTTCGAAAATTGCCCTATAATTTCAGAATTAGAGGAGGAGTCTTTACAAAGCAAATTTGAGGAGCAAGAAGTCCTGAGCTGCCTAAAGATGTGTGCAAGTGACAAGGCCCCAGGTCCCGATGGATACACAATGGGCTTTTTCATTAAGTGCTGGGATATTTTGAAGCAGGACATCATGGAGGCTTTCAACAACTTCCATTCCCAGGAGATGTTTGAGAAAAGCTTCAATGCAACATACATAGCTCTAATTCCAAAGAAGACAGGGGCCAAAGAACTGAGAGATTTCAGGCCAATCAGTCTGATAGGGAGCTTCTACAAGCTGCTCTCAAAAGTCTTGACTGAAAGACTTAAGAAGGTGGTAGGCAAACTAGTAGATGCTCAACAGATGGCTTTCATCAAAGGAAGACAAATAATGGATGCGGTGTTGATTGCTAATGAAGCTGTGGACTCGAGAATCAAAAAGAAAAAACCAGGAATTCTATGTAAACTAGATATTGAGAAGGCCTATGATCATGTCAACTGGAGTTTTCTGTTGAAAATGTTGGAACAAATGGGTTTTGGGCAGAAATGGATAAATTGGATGAAATTCTGTATCTCTACTGTCAGATTCTCCATTCTTATAAATGGATCTCTTGAAGGCTTCTTCCCTGCTCATAGAGGTCTAAGACAACGTGACCCCTTATCTCCCTTCCTTTTCATTATAGCCATGGAAGGCCTGAGCAACATGATTAAGACAGCAAAAGTCAATGGATGGGTTAAAGGTTTTGAGGTTGACAGGAATGGATCAAACAGTCTAGAGATCACACATCTCCAATATGCTGATGATACTCTAGTTTTCTGTGATGCTGAAGAGGAGCAGTTGAGGTTTTTGAGGATCATCTTGGTTTTGTTTGAGGGAATCTCAGGACTCCACATCAACTGGAGAAAGAGCCATATTTATCCCATTAATGTAGTTTATAATATGGAGCAACTGACACTGGTACTGGGAGGAGAAGTAGGGTCTCTACCTACTATTTACCTTGGGATGCCTTTGGGTGCAAGATCTAAATCCAAAGAGATTTGGAACTCAGTTATTGAAAAATGTGAGAAAAAGCTGTCAAGATGGAAAGCACAATATCTATCAATGGGGGAAAGGCTAGTTTTAATCAACTCAGTTTTAGACTCACTTCCTACTTACATGATGTCCTTGTTCCCAATTCCAGCCGGAATTATACAAAGATTGGACAAACTCAGAAGATCCTTCCTTTGGCAAGGGAATAAGGAGAAAAAGGTATACCATTTAGTCAAATGGAAATCCCTCACAGTGGTGAAAAGGCAAGGTGGTCTGGGAATCAGAAACTTGAAGAATCAAAGCAAGGCTCTCAAAATGAAATGGCTATGGAGATATTCTCAAGAACCCCAAACCTTATGGAGCAAAGTGATCAAAGCTAAATATGGTGAGGAAAATAACTGGGTGTCAAAGAAAGTCAGCACATCATATGGAGTTAGTGTGTGGAAATCCATCAGGGAACTTTGGCCTACAATGAAGAATCACACTTTCATAAGAGTGAACAATGGAAGGAAAACATCATTCTGGAATGATAACTGGTTGGGACATGGATGCCTAAAGGAACTCTACCCTGATATGTTTGGTTTGGCACAAAACCAACAGAAGACAGTAGCTGAAATGTGGAGTTCTCAAGGTTAGGAACTCACTCTTAGAAGACAGTTGAATGACTGGGAGATAGCAAGATTAACTGACCTCTACAAAGTCAAGCTGGATGCATTTAAAGGTACACAGGAAGGGGTGGATTCACTTTGGTGGCAGAGGCACAACAGAGGGGTCTATCAGGTGAATGCAGCATATAAGATTTTGAATCAAAATGATCCACAGATACATGATTGGCCATGGAAGCTTATATGGAGAACCAAGATTCCCTATAAGGTAGCTTGTTTCACTTGGCTACTAGCAAAGGAAGCTGTCTTAACCCAGGATAATCTCACAAAGAGAGGGTTCTCTTTGTGTTCAAGATGCTTTCTATGGGGGGAAAATGCTGAGACAGTTAGCCATCTATTTCTACACTGCAAGATAACAGACCAACTATGGAAAATTTTTATTAGTCTTAGGGGTATATCATGGACAATGCCCTCCAAGATTACTGAAGTTCTTCTTAGTTGGGAAGAAGCTGGAGCTGAAGCAACTAACAGAGATAGATGGAGGACTGTCCCAGCATGTATCTGGTGGACAGTTTGGAAGGAAAGGAATGCTAGATGTTTTGAAGACAGAAGCAACTTAGTGCAGAAGATCAAACTCAATTGTATTCTTCTTTTTTGTTTTTGGTGTAAACAGATTTACACAGAAGATACGCTGTCAATCTTAGACATACTAGGATCTTTCTAGGATTGCACTCTAGCACATCTAGTTAGCATTTACCTGTAAATAGGGTTTTCAGTACAACCTATGTACTCATTCTATTAATATATACAAATGTTATCAGTTCAAAAAAAAAAAAAAAGTGGATATTTTACTCAATTCATACTAAAAAGCGAATGTCTTTCTTTGTGCCAAGCCAAGACAGGAAATTCAAGATTAATTTAATAGGTTTTTGATGTCATGAATGTTACACTTTTATCGATTGAAAAGAGAATGTTTTACTGATTGAGAAGGGATGGTTATATCTCTCACTTGCCAATTGAAAGAAATTGTTTGTTTTTGTCAGGGGGCCTAGGAGGATGCTGTGTGTCATGGATGCAATTCCTGCTTCTTCTGTTGAACCTGGGGGTGTAGCCCCTACGCAGACAGAATTTGTCCCTGTGAATGTAGATTCCTTTCCTTCCCTTCCCTTTTTTAGATCAAAATCAACTCGCATGGATAACTTCCCATCCGGGCCTTTACCCAGTCAAAAAGATGAAGTTTTAAGTTTGAAGAACAAGGCTCCTAGGTGGCACGAGCAACTCCAATGCTGGTGTCTTAACTTCAATGGCAGGGTAACAGTTGCTTCCGTAAAAAACTTTCAGCTAGTTGCTTCTCGAGGTGATGGAGCTGGACAGGAACATGAGAATGTTGTTCTCCAATTTGGAAAAGTGGGAGAAGATGTGTTTACCATGGACTATCAGTATCCTATCTCTGCATTTCAGGCATTTGCGATCTGCCTCAGCAGCTTTGACACCAAAATTGCCTGTGAATAATGAGACAGGTGCTTTTTGCTGTCACCTTTTACTCATCATCATTTGATTTTCATGTGCTCATTTTAGTATATGATACTGTACTGAAGTGAGCAGTAGCAATGATATGATTATTAGAAAGTGTGTGTTTGGTGATCCCAAGGAACAACCTTCTGGTGGGACAAGACATGTTTTCAATACCACTGTACTATTTGGTAATTATAAACTGTTAAAACGACTGTCCAAGGCTTTTGATTATAAGTTGTATGTATGTACACAATCTCTTTTCTGGAAACCCCAAGTATTACTTTGTTTGCAGATGAACCATTTTGTTGCCTTTTAAGTATAATGATCGATGGACTGGTTCATGCAGGTTCTGCAAGATGTATTGAGGCTTTCATGCTGGCGTTTGCATAACCCCCTGTGTCTGTTGGCCACTGAACTAACACCCAGTTGAATTGCAGCAAGTTTGTTCTTTGCTGAATTAATCGCCCGGGTTTCCTGTGCTTGGACCCTTCTCTTGTTGCTTTTTGTAAATAGACATATGCTTCCCAGTTTGGTTCTTCTAACTTACTGCTTTTGTTAGCTCGCTACCAGATTGTACTTGTGATTACTTGTTGTGCCTTACATTTCTGAATTTTTGTTTTTTCCCTTAGAGTTCAAAACTTTTGTAGTGCGAGCATTTTGATGCCTTTATCAACGGTAGTATTTCTCTTTTGGAATAATGCCTAAATGTAATTGCAATATGCAAGACGAGATATTTGTGGAGATAGAACACCAATGTAAGGCTGGTGACACTTTTTGCCAAACACATTGCAAAAACAATCAAGAGTGTGCATTTGTGATGACATACTAGACTGTATACCGGTTTTTTATTACAACAATATCAATAGATACTGGCATTAATTATTTGGTAGGAGGTTTCCTAATTATATCCTACATAGTGGTACTTAAGTCGGCTTCTCTCACAAATGGAAAGGCAAAACAACATGTTTTTTCTTTTTGCTTGACAAAGAATGAATAACAACTTTCAACAAAAGATAAGACTCGGGGTTAGCTGCAATATTGTGTTTAGCACTATATTACTTGATTGAACATGCTTATAGAAGGAATTTTGGTAACATCCATATGTGATGGAACTTTTACAATGAGAAAGTGTATATAGATTGTCTGCACCAGGAGTATACAAAAATATTAAGCAGTACTTTCAAACTAGTTAGGATCAACTGCATATTAGACCGGCGATAAGCTGATCTCTTCTTTTTTTTTTTTTTTCTGAATTCTAGGAAAACCCGCAGCTGCTACCCTTCGCGTGAGCGCTCTGTGCGCACTGGATAAATCCCCCACTGTGTAATAGCCTTCAAACCACACAGGGAATGTGAACCGCACTAGGCAAGCCCTGCGCGACAGGCTCGACCCAGAAGGCATTGAGGGGGGATCGATCCTAGATCATCTGTATGGATGATCGCCCTCCAAACCAACTGGGCCATCCCCGAAGGGATACCGCTGATCTCTTTGATAATATAAGATGTTATATTAATGAAGCAAAATTAAGGGGTCGTTTGGTATGATGGATAAAAATAATCCTGGGATAATAATTTAGTATCGCCTTATCCCTTGTTTGGTTATTAATCTTGGAATAAGTTATCCCAGTACTAAAAATAGTATCGTGATAACTTGTACCTGCCAAAGGATAGAATAGTAATCCCAGGATAAAGCAATAAAATTGACTATTTCAGAATTAATACAACATGTCAAACAGTCAATAGGAAATAATACCAGAATAACTAATCTCAGCATAACTAATCTCACTATAACCAATCTCAGCACAACACGTCTTCAAACAAAACCACCCAAGGGTACTGGCAATAAAACAAAAGATGAGCAGGCCACCTGGGAATTTTGTAGTTAGTTGGGACTAGTTTCTTGGGGATTTATCTAGGGATATGCTTACATGGGAAATACAGAGGGGTTTTATTGTTGCGATTTTAGCTAGGGACTTTTTCTTGGGGGGATATACTTGTGGATTTTCTCACCTGGGAATTTATTTAATACAAAATTAGTTGCTAGTTACATATTCGGAGAATCCAACAATTCCAAAAAGATGGGTGGACACTCTAGCAAACCTGCTCCTACACCAGAAATTCAAATTTTATATACATGCACTTCACTAATAAAGGGTTCTGTTTCTCCCTTACAGAACATCTTTTATTCCATTCTAATTTCTAAGCAAATGGTCCACATGATGCATTAGGAGACGGTCGTCTCTGTCCTTGCTGTATTGGGGAAAATTGTATTTTATATATATGGTGACGTATCAGGACACGTGGATTGGTCAAATGGTCAATGAATCACAATTAGACACGATTCAAGAATTGTAAAACAGACACGGGCAAAGAAGGAGGAAGAGGCACGGGACATCAGATAAGTAGCATGGCGCCCGTACCTATTTAAATCATTTATATCCGGGCATCAGAAGGAATGAATCTGGTTATAAAAAAGAGTGCAGATACAGCATTTAATACTCATTAAATGCTTGTGTAACGTAGCATTCAATGTCTTTAATTATTCATAATAGCCTCATTATGATTTGGGCATAACGTACATTCTCAAAGGTACCTATAAAAAGGAGATATATGATCAGTTATAGGGGACACGAAAGACTATTGAAATATACATTGGTATCATTTGTTTTTCTTGATTATTATATTGCTACTCAGAATTATTTCCTTTTATTCATTTCTTTGATTATCAGTAACCCGAGTTCTTCTAAATTCTAGCTTTGACTAAAATTCTATTTTTTAGTTAAACAAATTGGTTCCGTTACCGGAAATCTGATAATCTATTTCCTCTTTGCCTAACTTTCCTTGTTACATCAACTATGGCAAACAACAATGATAACACTCAAGGAAACCAAGAAAATCAAACAAATCAACAACATCAGGGACATCTGCAGGATAATAACGCATTAGTTCCTTCTCCACAAGGTTCTCCACGACGGTCTCGTGAAGGCACTCCTGAGGGGTCTCATACAGATGGACAAGCTCAATTCGAAAATGTGGAGGCTATGGATGAAACTTTACAAAAACTTATCGCCACACAGGTCAATAAAGCTCTTCAAGCTTTTGTCAGTCAACTACCTGTTGCTCCACCCACATCTACTCCAAATAACAATACTCTGGAGAACCCTCGCTCTGGGCTAATTAATTCAGGTAGCGGAGGAACCCCCAGCGAGACACAGGAGGGAGAACCAGGTAATTTAGTTAATTCTGATTTACAAAATCTAGTACTAACATTGCGAAAACAGCTCAAGGAGCAAAGTGACCGCATAGAGCAGATACCCGGGGTGCCGCCTGTGATCAAAGGGGTAGATATGGATAAGTATTCTCAACAGCCTTGGAAGCCAAGTGCTGCTCCTCTCCCAATTCCAAAGAAGTTCAAACTGCCTGATATACCAAAATACGAGGGAACAACAGACTCACGAGACCACGTTACTGCATTTACAACAGGCGTAAAGGGCAACGACCTGACTAAGCAGGAGATTGAATCAGTCTTAGTCAAAAAATTCGGTGAAACGCTCACTAAAGGAGCGTTAACATGGTATTCTCTTTTACCCAAAAATTTGATAAATTCTTTTGCTGAGCTTGCAGATTCTTTTATCAAAGCACACTCGGGAGCTCAAAAAGTTGAAAAAAGAATGGAAGATATCTTCAAGATCAAGCAAGGAGACTTAGAATTGCTTAGAGAATTCGTGGACAGATTTCAACGTGAAAGAATGACATTGCCACGTGTACCTGACAACTGAGCAGCCATAGCCTTCACAAGCAACTTGAATGAGAAAAGTTCAGAAGCTACGAGGCGACTCAAGGAAAGCCTCTGAGAATTTCCAGCAATGATGTGGAATGACGTCTATAACAGATACAGTACAAAGATGAGGATTGAAGAAGATATTACTTTACGACATAAAAAAGAAGAAAAAGTAAGCTCAAGACGTGCAGAAAATGAAAAAAGATCCGGTAAAAACAGGTACGATCCATACATGGGACCTGCGGGGAGAGACTCACGATCAAAGCAGGACAATCAGTGGTACGATCACAGATCATAGAATAAAGAATTAGGCTCGTCTTCAAGATTTGGGAATGATCGAAACACACACGAGCCACGAGATGATGATAGGGGTCTGAAGGCAAGGTTTGGAGGTTATAATTTCAACGTGAGCACTTCTGAACTCGTAGCTATTTTAAGAAGCATGGGAGATAAGGTACGGTGGCCAAAGGAAATGCGATCGAATCCAAACAGACGAAACCCTGATCATTGGTGCGAATTTCATAACGATCACGGGCATAAAACAGAAGATTGCAGGTTTTTGCAAGGTGAAGATGATCATTTGCTAAAACAGGGGTATCTCACTGAGTTATTCAGTGAGAAAGGTAAACAAGCATACATGAAGAACAGGCAGGAGCCTCCAAAGCCACCTTCACCCAAAAGAACTGTCAACATTATAAGTGGGGGTGAAGATATCAATAGCGTGTCATATACTGCAGCAAATAAGATTTCCAAAGTAACAATTACTCACGGGAAGCGGCTGCGGCAAGTTTTAGAAGAAGACAACAACATTCAATGATGCAGATGCAGATGGCGTGTTAACCCCTCATAACGATGCACTGGTAATATCTTTAATTGTATGCGATACTAATGTAAAACGACTTTTGATTCCGTAAACATTATTCTGTTAAGAGTATTACGTGAGATGTAAGCTGAAGAAAAAGTAATACCAAAGGCACATACTCTATCTGGGTTCGATAATTCCAGCGTCGTTATAAAAGGAGAGGTAACGCTCACCACATTTGCTGAAGGAGTCGTCAAAGACACAAATTTCCAGGTAGTAGACATGGAGATGGCTTACAATATGATTCTTGGGAGACCATGGATCCACGAAATGGACGATGTTCCTTCAACTTTGCATCAAGTCATTAAATTTCCAGCGCCATGGGGAATATGTCAAATCAGGGGAGATCAACAGACATCTAGG